AGGAGAGCAGATAGCGAAGACTGAAGAATGGCCTCACACAGGGAAGTGTGATTGCTCCACTCCTCTTCAACATCTACACCAATGACCAATCAAAAACTGAAGGTTCCTGTAGTTTTATCTACGTAGACGACCTAGGTGTAAGCATACAGCACAGTGACTTCAAGGTTGTTGAAGATAGACTCTTCAAAGCTTTGGATGAACAAACACAATACTTTGAGGCAAACGATCTCCGTACAAATCCATCTAAGACGTGTGTGCCTTCCATCTACACAATCGAGAAGCAAAACGGCAACTATAGGTTACCTGGTCAGGTACAGATCTAGGGCACTGCGAACACCCAGTGTATCTCGGAGTCACCGTTGATCATATTCTATCATTTAAGACACATGTTGAGAAAACCAAGAGCAAGATGTGCAAAGAAATAACATTCTGAGCAAACTGACTGGTACCACCTGGAAAGCCAACCCACAAACACTGAAGTCAACTGCTCTAGCACTCTGCTACTCTGCTGATGGATATGCATGCCCTGTATGGGAAACATCCACTCATGTGAAGAACATCAACAATGCGTTCAATACCTTCTGCCACCAACTGCAGGATGTCTACGCCCAACAACTACAGATAGCCGACACACTGTGGCAGGTATAGCCTCTCCTGATATCAGACGGAGTGTTGCCAGTATAAAGAAAATAAGCATCAATTGGAAGGCAAACGACACCCTCTTTTTAACCAAGTACCAGCAGCTAAGCGCATAGTGTCCAAGAAGAGCTTCTGGAAGAGTGTTGAACCTCTGCAGAGTGTGAGAGTCATTATGTGGAAGGGAAGAGTTTCAAATCTCTCAACAGCTACATCAATAGCACTCTATCATTGTGAAATGCTTCCACTTGGAGCAGAGCACAGACGGACAGAGTGGAAATGTCTCATCTGACTGAGGACGGACATCGGCCGCTGCAAGGTGCCTCTTGACAAATGGGGACATACCAAGATCAGAAATGTGAATGTGGCACTGAGTAACAAACAACGCAACATTTATTCCAGTGTCCTTTGATGGAGCAAGTATGCACAGCTGAAGACCTTGCAGGCTACATCTGCGCA